CTTTTATATGGTTGATAAGGTACATCAAGATCATCATTCCTACTGGAAGACTAAATCCAAATATTTGTAAAGTTTTAAAAGGTTTTAAACGTCATTTATAAGGTTTTTAAAAGGTTTACAAAGTTTTACAAAAAATATTTTGGTGCTATTTAGGGTATTTATCTTATTATTAATTGTTTGGATACTCTAATAAACATGAAGTTCCGATGAAATGCATAAGAATGGTTGTTAAAATATAACGGTATATAAAACATATTTTGATGCTATTTGAGGGTATTTATCTTATTATTAATTGTTTGGATACTCTAATAAACATGAAGTTGAAATGCATAAGAATGGTTGTTAAAATATAATTTTCTTAAAAGAGAAAACACATAAATTTGAGAAATAATATTGTAAAAGTTGACAAAAAAGATAATTAAAAAAATAGGAAAAATGATAATTATGTACTTCGAAAGGGTTTCGATTTATTTTGGAAAGGACTTCTAATTTTTTTGGGTCTAAGATTTTGTTTATAGTACTCTTATGCATTTTTTTTTGGTTGAAAAAAAAAAAAACTCTTATGCATTTCATCGTAGTGTATATGTTGTTTACTTTTGTAATTTTCCTTTTTCCTGGTTTTAACAATATGGAACGACCTTTTGTCCACAAAAAACAAAAACAATTTGAGACAACCAAAAAATAATAATAACATTAACACTAATGACACAATTAATGTTCCGTTTGTAATAAATTGTAGCATTAATATAGGACCAATATAAGATCCGATTTTTGCAATAAATTGTAGCATCAATATAGGATCCGGTTTTTGCAATCGGGTAGTAAATTGTTAAAACAAACCGACCCGACTTCACTAATGACACAATTAACCTTAATGAGATAACCTTGATTAACAAAATATGGAGGGCATTTGGTGAGATAAAAATTAAAACCAAGAGTGGTCAAAAAAAGGGTTGCAAAAATAATAATATAGATTTGCAGCAATACTACCACCACTCCACTTGATGACCCACAAGGCCACAAGCAAATCGTATATAAATGTGATTTAATTGAAAAGTAATATTAATTATATTTCTAGGAGATAAGTCCTAATGGGTTTTAGGATAAGTACATATCTTTCTCAACTATTCTATCTCTAATCTCGTATAAAATTTGCACAAACGTTTTGGAACAAGAAATAATATACATAAACCCTAACTTAAGTTGGAAGTCACGACTAGTTTGCCAAGTTAGAAAATGGCGTTGATGATGTCTACCGATTGCTCCTCCCTCATGACGTCGCGTCTCATCCATGTGAACAGCCGCAAAGGTGCTTTTTCTCCTTCCACGGTGTATCGGCCAAACTCTGCCTCTGACCGCAGAGGCTGTACCCTCTCCATTCGTTCCTCTTCATCTCCATCCGCAATAGTAATTGATGGCAAAGCTGTGGCGGCAAAGATTAGAGAGGAGATAACAGTCGAAGTTTCAAGAATGAAGGAATCAATCGGTGTGGTTCCTGGTTTAGCGATAATCCGTGTAGGGGATAGAGAGGAATCCGTAACTGACGTGAGGGACAAGAAGGAAGCTTGTGAATCCGTTGGAATGACTTCATTCGAAGTTGGTCTAGCTGAAGATTCATCAGAAGAAGAGGTGTTGAAATATGTCTTAGGCTTCAACGATGATCCTCGCGTCCATGGAGTCCTTGTTCAGTTGCCTCGACCATCGGTAAACAGAGTCTCTTATCATCATCATCAATTCATCATATTCATATTCTTAACTAAACAGTTATTCCCAGACAGGCTTGATGTTGTTGTGTACAATTTGCAGCATATGGATGAAGTGAAGATACGGAATGCGGTTAGTAAAGAGAAACTCGTTGAAGGACGATATTGTTTTGGAACGCTTGACTTTTATGTTCCGTGTATTCCTAAAGCATGCATCGAGTTGTTGCACAGATACAACATTGAAATCAAAGGAAAAATCGTTGTTGTTCTCGAAAGGTGGTCTTCCCTTGATGGTCTCGCCATTACTCAATTACTTGAGGTAATATATGATGATGCCATTCGATTATTATAAGTTGGCTAGCTAGCTATTTGGTCCTTTTATCGAGGTATCTTTGTAAAATGTAGAGGGAGGATGCAACTACATTGAGCATGTTCCCCCCGGAGATGGCGGAAAAATTCACAAGAGAAGCTGATATCATAATCTCAGCTCTTGGACAACCAAACATGGTCAGAGGAAGCTGGATAAAACCAGGCGCAGTCATAATCGATGCTGGGACCACTCCTGTTGAGGTGAGTGGACATTTTTGACATATGGTAGTGTCAGATATATAGATGAATTTCTAATAAATCCAATATATATGTGACATTCATGTACATAACATGAATTGCATTGCAGGATCCAAGTGCTCCCCGTGGCTATCGATTGGTTGGAGACGTTTGCTATGAGGAGGCTTGCAAAGTTGCATCAGCCATCACTCCTGTTCCTGGTGGTGTAGGAGGACCAATGGCCATTGCCATGCTTTTGTCCAACACTTTAACATCAGCTAAGAGGATTCATAACTTCCAGTGACTTCGTTGGTGGGCGTTTTGGAATTTGTTTTTTTTTTTTTTTTTTTTTTTAACTTTCTTATTCTTTGCTCTTTTTTTAAAAAAATCCAATTAATGGATTTTGTTTTGGTGTTTAAAAGATATTACCAAACATGAACTCTTAAATTAAGTCGGATATATATATATATATG